AGCCGTCCCTGCTGGCGGTTACGATATGTATTTTTAAATTCATGATTACATGCCATCTGCCAGACCCTGGAGCCACAGTGACAAACCCAGCCAGCATCTCTGTTCCCAATGAGTTCACTGTGCCATGGCAGAGAAGTGTGGCAGGGTACATTTGCATAACAGAAGAACGTACAAATCAGGGTTGGGGTGGGGTAGGCGCAAAGACGGAAGACCTTGGGTGTGGGATGCAGGGATGCTGGGATGGACTGTGAAGGCTGGGTAGGAGCTCACCAGGCAGTTGATGTAGAAAAGGCACTGCAGGTAGACAGAACGATCAAGGCAGAGACTCAAAGGCAGGAAACAGCGCCGTACGTCCAGGGCCATAGAGAATGACAGGAATCCAGGCTAGGGGAGGCCCTAACTCCGGCCACAGGAGGGTCTGGACTCTCATGCTGCTCGCGTTAAGGTCAGTCATGAGAAGGGTTTTAAGCAGGAGTGACACGATCACACTCCAGTCTTAGGCTGCATGCACATCCAAGTCTGGGGGTTTATATAACTTTTCCTTTTCTTCTACAGCATTTATCCAGCCTAGAAATTTTAGAGCAAGCACTTTCCCTTATTTCTATTCAACCTGAAAGCGGCAGTCGAATCCAGCTTGCGTGGTATTGAAATGCAGGTGGCCTGTGCAACAGTGTTGCTAAAATTACCAAAACTAACCACACCAGGGAAGGGCCATTATCAGAAACAGATTTTATTACCATGGAAACCAGCAGATAATGCCAAGTCCAGTCATTTTTATTCTCCAAAAAGAGAGAGAGAGAGAAGGAGAGAGAAAGAGAGAAACAGAGAGAGCAGCAGGAGAGGAGCGGTTGAAAGGAAGTGAGAATGCCGCAGCCGCGTGGAAGAGGGGCGGCGAGCTGGGGAGTGACTACGGGGCTCGTGCCGCACATGCCTCTGTCCATCCACACGCTTCGCCAGTGTGTACAGAATTCGTGCTACCTGCCACAAGCTGGCAGGAAGCAGCCAGAAATGGCAGAAACGGCTTTGCAGTGTGACTTCCACCACGGATCTAAAATGTGGGAAACCATGTGAGTGCCCCAGAAAGAGCAGCCCAGGGCATATTTCAAGGCAGCCCTGGTGGTCTCTACAGAGAGCACTGAACTTGGGATCAGAAGACCCAGCTTTGAGTCCAGGCTCTGCCTAGAGTGGCTTGTGACCTTGGGCAAGGTCACAGAAATTCTCAGAGCCTCCATTTATTTATGTGTCCCAAGAGGGACCTCCTGGGGGGTGGCCGTGAGGGTCTGGTGTGCATGGATGCCAGGGTGTTTTGTAACTGTGGGAACAGAAGGCTCTGCAGGATTCTTACACCTGGGTCTCTGCTTTGTCCCCTGATTTGAAGAGTCCCTTCCACCCACACACAGCTTTCTGGCCTTCTGCAGCCCGTGGAATGCATCACCAGCCCACACAGCCTCAAAAGATGAGAGGAGGGCAGGAAGCCCTGGTGAGAGTTTTGGCGGAGTTGGGGGAGGTGGGGGCGACACTGCTGAGAAAAGAGGCGACGGGAGAGCCAGGATGTGTATGGTTTTGTAAACAGGACTAAGACCAGGTCTTGACTGGATCACCCTAAGGGAAAGGAAAAACCATGGGCAGAGCGGGAGGAAGCAGGTGAGACAGAATGAGGAGAACCAGGTGACCCTAGGGAAGGGGGCCTGGAAATAGTCTAGGAACCTGAGGAAGGAGCAAGCTGTCAAAGTGTGTAGTGTATGGGGAGAACAGGAGAAAGCGAGCCACAGAATATACACAAAGACCCATAACATCACAGGCGCGTACACACAGGGCATCCAGCCCTTGCACCTCGAAGCGAGCATCACCTGGGAGCTTGCTAGAAATACAGACTCTACCCAGACCTTCTGATGATTCATCTGTACGGTCAAGTTTAAAGGCATTGGTCTAAGTCCTTTCCCTTCTCCAAGTCTCAGTTTCTTCGTCTATAAAATTGGAATCATAATACCCTCCCAACCTCACAGGGCTATTTGGAAGACTGGGAAAAAAAAACATATTGGAATGAATCACTTTGAAAAATTAAAAGCACCATATTGAATGTAAGATATTGTTTTACTATTATGTATTTATTATTATTATATACAGGCAGCCCCAATTTCCCAGGGCAACAAGGCGCTCTCATAACAAAATGACTTGATTAGACCGTTCTCTTAAAAACACTGCTCCCCAGCTAGCATTTTTCCTATCAGCGCCTCTTCTTGCAGCTGCATATTAAATCTTCATCCCATCAGCACTTGACTGAATTTGTAGAAACAAAATGGAAGAGGGAACTCAGGCATGAATTAGCAGTTTAAGACAGGAATGAGATTACAATAAAATCCCCACTCTCTCCATCCATCAAAATGTAATAAGAATAGAAACTAATGCAAAAATATCAACATGACCTATTGCTTCGAGCTTGGCACCGCCATCCTTTATGATCAAGCCTTGCAAGATGCAAGCATCTCATTTCTCTGTCAGCATCACGGTTTAGGGAGGGGACACAAACCATGTCCAAGACAGGCTGCATACTTGGGCAGATCCCTCTCGGGGACACAGGAAGGGACCAAATATGACACGGTTCCCTGACTTTCCAAATCATGGAGAATGAGAATGACTCAGAGGTGACTTGATCTGAAGGGTGTTTGGTTTCGATTTCGATTCTGTCTGTGGTTGTGGAAACCCCAGCTGCATCAAAGGATCACGGAAGACACCCAGAAGGGACATTTCCTAAGTTTCAAATGTCTCCAGGAGCCCCTGCTCCCTTGGTTGCAGCAGCAATGGCAGCCCCAAGCACCAGCCCCATAGCATCACCGCAGAACAACCTTGTGGACCTGCACGGGCATCACCGGATATACAGCATGTAGAGAGTGGTGTGGCCACTGGTCCCCACAGCAGCAGATGAGGAACAGATAAGCAATGGGAGTTGCTCAAGGACACACAGCAAGTACGGGTTAGACTCCAGGTCTGCGAAACTCCTTGTCCATTGCTCTTCAGACAGCACCGCATTGTCAGAGATGTGCCAGGACTGAGCTCACGCGAGAGGCACATGAAACATGAGCAGTGGTACCTGCCCCTGGGAACTCAATGCCTCACTCCCATCTAAGCTTAATCCCCCTCCAACCTCCCACCTCCATTCTGCTATGGCCACCTTCTTCCTCTTGTTCCATAAAAGCACTGAATTTTTTTTTCCAATCACAGACTTTGAACACTCTCTTCTCTGGAATGCTTTTCCTACCAGTGTTCACTGGGCCCACTCCCTGTCCTTCAAGTCTCACCTGAGGTGTCACCTCCTCAAAGAAGCCCTCCCAGATACACCTTCTCCCTGCCCACTTTCCTTTCAGGGCCCTCAGTTAATTCACTTTCTTATCAGCCTATGCTATGCCGCTGTAGCACATTTCTCAGTAGTAGTTAAATCATTGTTTGTGTTATTACTTGGTATTTATCACCTCGTGGGACAGCAAGCTATAAAGTATAACCCTCTAGATCACTCTGGCACTTATTCATCCACTTATTCAAAAATGCTTTTTGAATACCTACTATGTGCATCCCTGTCTGCATGGAAGCTTCCTTCTAGTGGCAGAACACACACAATAAACAAACCTAGGTCTGACCATGATGAGTGTTAGAAGCAAAAGAGAACAGGGTGTGCCAAATTTTGAGCTGATGTTTGGGAATTTTTTTAGCAGTGACATTTGAGCAGAGCCTGGGATGAAGCGAGAGGATGAGATCCACAAACACAGAAGGGAACAGCATTCCACACAGCAGGATCAGTAACTGCAGAAGCCCAGAGGCTTGTGTGGCATCTTCCTAGAGGTTGGGGTGAGAGGGCAGTGGAGAAGGTGGGTCAGAGAGGTGGGGGCCCAGTGTTGAAGACTTTAGAGTTGACTCTATGTGAGACAGGAAGCCACTGGAGGGTTGTGAGCAGAGGGAGGACTTGATCTGACTTTGGTTCTAGGACATCTCCAGGTACTGCGCAGAGATGACCCACGGAGGCCAAGGGCAGGAACAGGAGAACCTGCCGAAAAGCTACTGAACCAGTCTAGGTAAAAGGCTGTGGTGGCTCGGACCTGAGGAGTAGCAGTGAAGGCGGAGGAAGAGTGTGGATTTCAGGTATATTCTGCAGAGGGAGCCAATGGGATTTGCTAAGGGATTCAATGTTGGGTACAATGGCATGAAAGGAGTCAAGCATGATGGCACAGACAACATGGAAGCAACAGGAAGAAGGGAGCTTCTGTGAACCAATAAATTGCCTTTCATGCTTAAGCCCATTTGAACTAGAGTTTTATCACTGGGAATTTTTTTTTTAATATTGAGTAATTCAGAGACTAACCAACAGGCCAGAGGGAGCAAGGTAGGAAGTAGAGAGGAAGGGACAGATGGGCAGGATAGGAAGGAGCCCGACTGGAGGCAGCAGAGAGTGGGACTTCAAGATGGAAGAATTAGGACTCTGGGATCGCCACCCCAGTTGCTGGGAGGATGGCAGCCTCGATCATGTGAAGCACAGGCTCAACTGAGTATGACTTTTCCTTTTTAATTTGAGGCACCAGCTGCTGGAAACGTGTGATTGGAGCCTTGGAGAGAACATAGAGCTCCCAGGTGATACATGCTTTCAGCAAGCCAAGCAGAGGGCAAGGCTCATGTGTATTGCATTGCTAAGCATTGAAAAGCTTTGTCAGATTAGTGTCACTGCTCCCATTTTACAGATGAGGAAATAGAGGCTCAGAGAATCTATGGGGCTTGCCCAAAGTCACACAATTAGAAATAGACTTGGACCCACCCAGGAGAAAGTAAGTCTTTTGCCTGTAGGTGACATTATGAACCCCTTGGCTGGAGGTCCAAAGACACTGGGTCTTTGTGTGACCTCTGGAGCTCATCCTCCTCTCTGCGCTCTGCTTCCTCGTCTGGGAAATGCCAGGACTGGGCTTGATGATCTCACTCACTCCTGTTCTGTCTTCACAGGACCAGGACAGGCAGAAATGATCCATCTGCCACACAGCTTGGGCACCTACTGTGTGCAGCACTTTGTCTTAGGAAGAGACTGGAGGGAGCAGGGGCCTGGAGCCCACCTTCAGAGGACTCCCAGAATGCTGGGGCCTGGGAGCACAGGGCCGCAGCAGACAGCACTGCTGGGAGGGACCGGGGAGCCCAGCCAAGCTCCTGTGCACAAACTGCTCCCGGCATATGCTCCTCATTTCATACATCATTTGCAAGGAGCTGCAGCCATTTTGCAAAGTCTCTTCCTGCTCCAGGAGCATCTGGGCTTTGGCTTCTGTCTTTTCTGCTCGGTCTCCTGCCCTTTATGTCGTCTCCTTCCACTGCCACCAGCAGCCCCAGACAATATTTCTCTGTAAGTTTGGGAGATCCAGGTGGAGGTAAGCAGAGTAACTTTCTTCTGGATGGACTTGATGGTACAAAGAGCATGCATGGTCCAGGCAGGGTCCTGGGAGACGCGCACCGCAAGGGTGGAGCGGGCTAGTAGTGTGAGTGATGCCTCTGCGAGGGTGCACTGAGTAAGATGAGGAACGGCTGCGTTGGGATTCACTGAGTAATGCAAACACTGCCAGAGCCAGGCTCCCATGAGGAACTGTTATGATACAGTAATGTGGAAAAATGTCCATGGTATGGTCCACTGCAGGTTGAGAATATCGCTGTCAGGTTAGGTTTCAGGGAGTAACTCGCTGTATTGGAAGGGCTGGGGGGTGTGAGTAATACCACTGCTGGGGGCTTTGCAATGCGAGCAGTGTGCAGAGAGGGCACATCCATGACTTGCTCAGCTTATCTCCAGGGCTTACTGCATAGTAGGTGCTCACTGAATATTTGCTAAGCAAATGGATAAATGAACTGAGTGAATAACATGGTGCCAGATATACCGAGTGATGGGACCCAACATTGCTAAGGACTCCCTCCAGCTGCACTGCCCCCAGGGCCTGCCCTGGGCATCAGGAACCACAGATGCAACAGAAACGGGTCATCTGACCCAATCAGAGGGACCAGTTCTATCTTTCCTTCTCTCTCTCTCTTTCCCTCTCTTGCTCACTCTCTGTCTCCTCTTTCAGTCTCTGGTTTTGTGGCTGGAAGGAAAATTTAAAAAGTCCCCCTCTCCCAAGCTGAAGCCTCTCACCAAGCCTGAGCTTCCCAGAGCCCAGGAAGCTCCCCACAATCTTTCACTCCCCACAATCTTTCAAAAGCTGGGCCCACAGCTCAGAGCCAAGGATGTCAGGAAGTTGGAGCTCTGGCTTTCACCTATCCACAAGGACAAACCCCAGCCCGGCTACAGTAGCCATGGAGCCTCCTGGAGCCGATGTCAGACTCCAATCTGGCAGAGCCCACACACACCACCTCCTTGTCCTGGGGTGCTTACTGCCTGCCCTCTCCAGCTTGAACCCCAGGGGAGCCCTGAGCAACAGGGCTGCTGGGCTGTACCTAGGGCCTAATGCATATTCTCATTCTTTCTTTATTCTTCCATTTGGTGGAGTTCATGAGGACCTGCTACATGCCAGGCACACACTCAGGCTTGGGGATCTCACAGTGAGTCAAGCTGACAAGGTCCCTGCCCTTGTGGACCTGACATTCTAGTAGAAAGGAAAGTTGGCCAGGCGAGGTCGCTCACGTCTGTAATCCCAGCATTTTGGGAGGCCGAGGCAGTTGGATCACGAGGTCAGGAGTTCGAGAACAGCCCGGCCAATATAGTAAAATCCCATCTCTACTCAAAATACAAAAATTAGTCAGGCGTGGTGGTGCATGCCTGTAGCCCCAGCTATTCGGGGGCCTGAGGCAGAAGAATCTCTTGAACCCGGGAGGCAGAGGTTGCAGTGAGCTGAGATCTTGCCATTGCACTCCAGCCTGGGCAACAGAGCAAGACTCCATCTCAAAAAAAAGAAGAGAGAGAGAAGAAAGCCAATAAACTATCAACCAACCAAATGAATATGAATATTTTAGGTGGCGAGAATTACAACAGAGACAACACAAAGTTGTGCTGGTTTTTCTCAGTTTCTTCCCCTGGCTTCTATTCTATTCTTTTCCTCTCTGATCTGCTCCATGCCCTCGGGCTGAGCCCTGTGGAATGCAGCCCTGAGCTCCCTCACCTCCAGCTGGCTTCTACTTAGGTTCAGGCAATGGGAGACCTCAGCAGGAAGCCAGAGCACTGGAGGAGAGAGATCATTTGTTTCTTCTCCTGCCCCTCCTTTCTATGTTGCCCAGGTTCTAGCAGTGGCTGCAACTTTCTGTGACTCTGGCTCAGCCCTCCTCAGGTTCTGCTAGCACATTTCCTCCCAGCCCCCCTCAGGCCCAAGGTTCGAGCATATTCCCACAGTTGCTAGCTGCAGGGTCCCTTACCCTTGCCCACACTCTTCAGATTCTCAGCCGAGTGTGCCCTGCTATTCCTGCTGGGCCCCTGACCCATACTCAGGTAGATGGTATAGGATGTGCTGAGTGACAGGGCATGGTTGGGGAAGGCCAGTTCAGGCTTGGGTTGTTAAGGAATGGAAAGCTGGCCAGCATGTCTAGAAAGCAGTAAACAAGGGAATAAAGTTGGGCTGAAATTCAAAATAGTTAACAACTGGCTTGGCACAGGCGCTGCCCAGTCAGAAGGGACCCCAGCAGTAAATGGCCATTGTGCCTACAAACAAGCATCCTGGGTGATGAGAGAGGCAGTCAGGGGTGCACCAGTCAGGGTCCCGCGGACCAATTGCTCCTGCAACCTCCACCCACAATTTCCTCCTGCAATTTCTCCACTTCCTATCTGATGCCTTTCTCCCTTTCTCCAAGGACCACACCAAAGGAGACAGCTGGCTTAGCAGACGTTTCTCTGACAATTAGCCGTGTGGGCAAACCTTGAATCCTGGGGGCACTTCTAAAAGGTCTGCTGCTATGGGTTCTGGCTCCAGGCCCAGAGAAGTGTTCAAGAGAAGCCTGAAAAAAATACAGCTCAGAGAGGTTACATGACTAACCCAGGAGCACACAGCCAGGTGAGGAGGCAGGTGAGGAGAGTTTAATAAAGACGCACTTTACACAAGTGTGGATGTGGAAGTCTCAAGGGTGAGGCGGAACTGCAGGACTATAACGATCCCAGGGAAAAGGGCGAGAGGAGAGTGCTGTCACTAGATGCAGACAGAGTTGTGCAGAGAGGGCCGCCTTGAAAAAAAGCTGGGACCGTCCCTCAAGGACCACATATAAGATGCGGTGGCCTTAGGGAAAAGCATCAGAGAAACCTAAGTCCCAACCCAGCCCTCCTCCCTGTCCCCAATCTCCTCATAGTGACACCCACTGGCCAGTGCCACCCAGGAGCCAGAGAATGTCCATATGGGTCACCCCGCCCCCGCCAAAGCCTAGAACAGGATGAGAAGGATGGAGCCTGGATCTTGAGAGGCAAATGGGAAATCTCCAGCCCCCAGACCATGCCACACCTTGAAAGTCATGCAAGTGGGAAAATACTGGGAAGGAGAGTGACAAAATCACATCTGGACCTTTTACCTCCATCCACAGGGAGGTGACAACAGGCTCTGCTCATGACAGCCTGGACCAGACACCTCCCAGAAGCATGTGGTGATGCTGATTGGGAGAAAGAAGGAAGCTGGGAGTACCTCCTGAAGAGCCCAGCCCCCCACGACCAACCAGCTCAGAGAACCCAGGGACCCCAGCCCATGGGAGGAAAACTCGCTGGGCCCTGAACCCCATGAATGTGGCACACAGGACCACCCTGGGCGTAATGGGATTTGGTTTCCCTCCACCAGGTAGGCACCCTTCAGAAATCAGAAAATGCCTGAGGCTTTCCTTGAGAGGCTCCTGCTGAGTTACAGAGGAGGAGCGGAGGAGGAAGCAGAAACCCTCCCAGACCCAGCTTTGCCAGGCTGAGAAGTGGAGAGGTGATTTTGAAAACCTGCCCACACATTTCCTTCTCCCAACCATCATGAGGGTTAAGACGGAGACGCAGAAGAAAGGGAGCAACGCCTTTGTCTATTCATCTGCGGGAGTGGTCAGGGCGTCCAGACAGGAGGACAAACTCCAGACCCCAGCGGGTTCGACAGGTGCTTGGAATTTGCAATCAACAGGATTTCCAGAAGACTCTACAGGACCTCCAGAAGAATCTGGGGGTTGAATTTTTTTGTAGCTTGAATGTGGAGTCAAGAAAATCCCTAGATTTGGAATCACAAGTCTGGGGTTCTAATCACAGCCTGCATGTAGCAGGTGCACACAAACACGGTTTTAAGGCAAGAGAAAGAAAACTGATAACATGGGATATCATGCCACAGCTCCTCATCTGACCTGTGCACGAGCCAAGCCCTGTCTCAACAAATGCATCTGATGTCCTTTTTCATACTACCTCAGCAGGAGCCTGAGCCAGGTATTATCCCATTTCACAGAGGAAGAAACTGAGGCTCAGGGAGATTAGATCCCTCGCCCCAGTCCCGCAAGCTGGTCAGCGCAGGAGCCAGGAGGCGAGCCCAGGTCACTGGCAGTAAAAGCATGGGCCCTCCACCAGCAGAACTCCTATCTAAGAGGAGAAAGTGCAGCCCCAAAGCCTGGGTTCCCTCAGCAAATGCTGGAGTCTCCAAAAAAGAGTTCAGACGACTCTGGGTTCCACAGCTCCCCGCCTCCTTTATTACAGCCCGGTGCTCCCGTTTCCAGAATCACTAGGCAGAGGCTGGAACCTGCCTGATTCATTCCTTTAATCAGAGCTGAAGCAGCTTCCTGAAGAACACTTACACCCTCGTTAAAATTAAGTCATTGCTTTAATAACCACAGGGCAGAGACGGCTGCAGCTGGGAACATGTGAGCTCTTAGCATTGCCCATGGGTCTTGATGAGCTGGGCACTGCCATGGGATACCAGGCACTCCAATTTCTCTGCTTCCTATCTGATGCCTTTCTCCTTTTCTCCAAGGGCCACAGCAAAGGAGATAGCTGGCTTGGCAGGTGTTTCTCAGACAATTAGCCATGTGGGCAAGCCGTGAGTCCTGGGGGCACTTCTAAAAGGTCTGCTGCTATGGGTTCTGGCTCCAGGCCCAGAGAAGTGTTCAAGAGAAGCCTGAAAATAAATACAGCTCAGAGAGGTTACATGACTTACCCGGGAGCACACAGCCAGCTAGAGGGAGCACAGGGTCTTGAACCCAAGTCTGTATAAATCTTAAACCCAACTCAATAAATTAATCCCACCTCATCACGTGGTCTCAGTGTGTCTTCATGGGTCCCACAAATGCACTTATTCTGGGGACAAGTGCAACCTCACCTGGGAAGACACCTACCATTGTTACTCACTAGCTCTGCAAGTCAAGGTAAATTGCCTGACTTTTCTGTGCCTCCAGTTCTTCATCTGTCATACAGGATATCAGATCATTGTGAACCTTGAATGAGATAACAAACGCGCAAATGCTCTGTCTATTGTAAAGCTTGGTGCACGTTGAGGATAAGTGGGCCTATGGGAAAAGGCAGATTCCAGCAAACATCAGAGCAGGGATGGGGGAACATTAGGGAAGAGCAGGGGGAGAGGGTGTGGGCTGGGAAATGATGAATGGGCACCTGCACATTCCTGGGGGAGAAGCATGCAGAGATCTGTGAGATGGAAGCCCAGGGCTCTGGGAGAGATAGGCACTGTGGCTGGACCACACGGGGCTGGGGCAGGGGCAGCCTGAGTAGTTAACAGTGAGTACCTAGAGACCAAGCTCCTCTAGGATGAAGCAAGAAGTGGCCAGGGTCGGGCAAGCTGTGGCTGGCCTGTGCACCGCAATGGCCATATCTCCTGCCCTCTGGGCCTTGGTTTCCTCTCTGTACCATGGAGGTAATAGATCTACTTTACAGGGTCATGGTAGGGATCGGCAATAATGGATGTAAAGTGCCTGACATACAGTAGGTGCTCGATAAATGGTTTCCATTGTTATTATGATGACGACTATGGTGCTGAGCAAATATCTCTGAATCTACTTCCTAGACTGCAAAGTGGAAATGATCAGATCTATGTCACAGTATTCTTGGAATGCTAAAAGGTCATAGTCTACCTGACTGCCAAGCACAGGGCCTTATGCACAGCAGGTGCTCAACAATCTATTCTCCCCTTCCTTTCTTTTTCTGAACAATGGACAGGTGTGGAGCCTACAGATAGGCATGGTAGGAAGATAGGCTTTGGTTCCATTCTAGAGGTCCCTGCTTCCCTGGAAAGGTAGTGAGCTCCCCAATCCTGGGAGACATCCAAGGAGAAGTTAGATAACTTTGTGACAAAAATTGGTCATTTTTCTTTCATTGGTGAAGGAGGGTGACAAATTTCAGGCAAGGAGCTGACTCAAGGCCTTGCAGCTTGGGGGACGCACAATCCTACAACTGCAGGTTCCGATGTCACTGGATTGCCCCCCGCCGGGCCTGTAGGAAACACAGCCTTGGATTTGGAGTTCAGAGATTGCAGGCTGAATACTGGCTCAGCTTCTTCTATTTCCTCAGGACCTGCATCTAGCAGGTGAGCAATAATCCATGTTTCCTTAAGACAGGATGGAAGCCTACCTCTTCAGCTGCCCACCAGCTAGAGTCATACTCAGACATCTGTAGGAATAGCACAGTGCTCCCATCCTCCAAATTCCTTTGGAATGTTGGGAACTTCCCTAAATTAGCAGAAGGGCAGAGGCGCCTCCAAAACCAGGCAGAGGCTGGCCTGGGCCCTCATGCAAGGAGCACCCAAGGCTTCCCAGCACCTTCCCTATGCCTGGGCAGCTCCAACCCAGCCCCAGCAGGTGTGTTTGGAAAAGCACATCCAAAGTCTCACCCCGTACATGTTCCCTGGCTCAATTACAGGCTCAATTTTCTTTTCTGTTTAATCCCCAAATCAATATGTGTTCATACATATTTAATCGGGAGACTTTTTATCAGAGTGGGGATTAGTTTTACGTCTTTCTCCCCAATGCTTGGAAGGCATCTGCCACTCACCAGAAAGATGAGTGGATGAATGAAGAAGAGGCCCATGTGCAGGCCAGGCTCGGCCCAGTGCCCAGACCAAGTCAGAGACGCTCAGAGCACCGCTCCTGCAGCTGGCATCCCTGCCACATGGGGCCAGGGTCCTGCTGCCTCCCAGCCTCCTCTCTGTGGGGCTGAACCTGCAGCCCGTTCCTCACTTTCCAATCCCTGCCATAAGTTCCTGCTCAGGGAAGGTCCCCCAGGGGTCCTTCCAGGCCTATTCTCCAGGAGCCAGGAGAGCAATGGCCAACTGCCTGTTAGAGGTCAGAAAAGAAGGTCACCCTCAGACTTGCCTTTCAGAAGTAATAGATTTCTCCTTCCAACTCCAAGTCAAGGCTGAACAGAATAAATTATCACCCTTTCACAGTGTCATCACGGTCACACTCAGCCCCAGCTGCCATCTGCTTCTTCACCAGCATCCCCACCTAGCCAAGCTGGAAGGAAGGAGAGGACATGTGGACAGGTAGATCACTGCGCTGGCCAGAGAAGGACAAGGGCAAGAGCACCCTGGGGCCCAGAGCAAGAGAGAGGAGGCCAGGGCAAACTTCTCAGTGCCCCAGTTAAAATAGGCATAAAATGGCAGGTGTGTGTCAAACCAGCTACACATCATCTCATTTAATCCTCATCCCATCTCTAAGAGACAGAGCCTCTTCTCATCATCTGCATTTTACAGAGGAGGAAGCTGAGGCTCAGTGGGATTACAGGTCTTGCCCAAAGCCTCCAAACAGGAAGTAGCCGATCCTGGACTTGAGCCATACCACAGGGCTGCAGGTTTGTGCCTTTTGCTGTGGGCACTGCCCTCTCTCCAGTATACAACAATCTCCTCCTCAACACAAGCTGGGAGCCATTCAAGGTGACATCTATAAGCAATGAGATTTGGGGAGCACCAGTTATTGGCTGGAAATTTCCAGCCACCAAGGAGCCTGGGGGTGTTGGGTGTGGTCAGCACCACCGCTCACGGCCACCATCACTCTCCTGTCTCCTCATTGACCTCATGCCCAGCGTGCCTACTGAGCACCTCCACCTGGTCTGTGCTAGGAGCTGGGCTACCTGGAGGAACAAAGCCAGGCATGGTTCATCTCTCACTCAACTAACAGACTGTGGGCGAGGTGTGCCTGCCAGCAGAGCCGAGTTCCTGGAGAGGGTGCCCCTGCCTGGTTTCCCCACATGCCCGAGCCTTGCCTGCCCATCACCTGGCTTCCTGCAGCTCTCTTCAGCTGCACACCCCAACACAGTCAAGGAGTGCCCTGCACCTCTCATTCTCAGAACTCACCCCATTGGTAACTGTCTGATTGCAAAGACCGGGTCTATCTTATCCACCACAGGATCTTACTCATTGCTGGAGTAGAAAAAAACTTTGGGGAGGAGGAAAGAAGGAGGAGAGGAGAAAGGACAGGAGGAGGCAAGGAAAGGAGGGAAAGAAAGAAGGTGAAGTCAAGAGAAAAGGAATCAGGGGAGAGGGAAATAACAAGGGAAAAGGGAAGAAGGGAAGAAATTTGGCCTTTTTTTTGAAGATGGAGTTTCGCTCTTGTGGCCCAGGCTGGAGTGCAATGGTGCAATCTCAGCTCATTGCAACCTATACTTCCTGGGTTCAAGCGATTCTCCTGAGTAGCTGGGATTGCAGGCATGCACAAGAACACCCAGCTAATTTTATATTTTTAGTAGAGATGGGTTTTTTCCATGTTGGTCAGGCTGGTCTTGAACTCCCAACCTCAGGTGATCCACCCACCTTGGCCTCCCAAAGTGCCAGAATTATAGGCGTGAGCCACTGTGCCTGGCAAACTTAGCCATTTTTGAAAGACCAGGTGTACCCCCAAAGTCCCCTCATTTCCCTCTCACTCTGGGCTGAAGTTTAACTTGGTTCCCAGAAATGTGCTGAGAAGGTAAACCAAGTACACCTACTGCAGTAGGGAAGAGTTAAGTATTTCAAGGATGCCCCAAAAGGAGAGCTGTCAGCTTAGCTGAATTAACCCCTTCATAGAGGTCAGGGGCTGATGCCTCAGTTCTCAAAGCTGGAGTGGCAGAATGGACTCACATCTGATGACACCACGAACTTGACAAAGGATCCGTCCAAGGCACCCGGAGAGTTCTTCTGGCCGAGGAGCCTGTGCCTGGTGCTCGAGGACACACAGAACTCCGCATTGGGCTTCAGCCGTTCTCAAGATGCTGGTGTGTCTCCTGCTGGCCACCTTTTCCAAGCACATCCTCAGGATGGCCAGCTGGACGGGCTGGTGCGACACTGGGGCCACCTGGGGCCGGCGCAGTCACTCTCTGCTCACATCAACCACTTGCCAGCCCGTGTTTGATGACGGGTTAATTCCTGAACAAAACACATAATGTAGGCAGTGTGATTCCTCATTTAGCTGTCAGATTGGGATAAAAAATGTGTGAGAGAGAAAACTCAAGGGAAAAAAAAATTGGATAATGATGAATTGTGACTGAATGCTCCAAAGAAACACAAGCCGTCTCCCCCATCGTGTTGTGCCCGCTGTCACTTAATTTGAAAATACTCTAAGTGTGCAGGGTCTTCTCCTTGGCACTTTTCAGCTCTTCCCGAGAAGAGCCGGTCTGCTTTTGTCACCAGTGTCACTTCCTCCGCAAATACAGCAGTGCATCAAAGGCTCAGGCGGGAATGCTGGCCAAGACGCCCTCCTGTGGCCCCCCACACAGCCGCGCCTCTCGTGCCACACTCCAAAGAGACGAAGAGACGCCTTTGCACTGCAGTATTCTAATGCCATCGTGCATGCTCACTCAGGAGGGAGCGAGGGAGGGAGAGGAAAGAGAAACAAAATAATGCTTTTGCTGTGATAACTGTCAGCTCTGCCTGCATCTAAAGAGAACTTGTTGTTTTGCAAAACGGAACATTATCCAAATGCACAAAAGCAATAGATTGAAGCTAGGAGGTTTCCAAGATCAGAAGTTGTCTGGCTGCCCTGGGAGTGGAAGCAAACATTCATGTCTGGACGTCTCCTCGTACCCCACAAGGACGAGTTGAGAAATGAGCCACCCTGGAAGCCTTCTTGGGACTTTGGGCAGTGCCCTTTCCCTGAGAACAGCCAGGAACCATATACTTTGGCCAAAGAAGCTTAGCTCCCAAGCAACCTCCAAGAACAGGCAGGAGATACTTTGGGTCCGAAGGCAGGAGATGGGACATGATGACCCTTAGGGGCTCAGACTACCTGAGAATGGCCTGCGGTTTATTGAACACTGGCAAGTTTAAAT